AAGTTTGCCTATGGGATGGGAAAACCCCACCTCCTATGTATTTGTACAAGGAAAAATGTTGAATTGCTGTGGTGAGGCTCTCCAGGGAGCCCTTGGTGATGGAGGGCACCGCTCCTCCAGCTTGAGTTTAAGGCTCCTCTAGCAAGGTCACGATCCCATCACAATACACTTCTAAATCCAGACCTAACAAATTTGCCAATGTCAAAAAAAGCCTTTATTCCCTTTTAACAGCCTCAAGCTTTCTTGCCCGATGCTTTTGGAGCTGATGCCTTTGGAGCTGATGCCTTTGGTGCTGGAGCCTTCTGACCCTTCTGAGCTTTTGGGACAGGCGCAGCCTTCTCGCCAGAGGCCTTCTCACCAGCAGCCTTCTGACCAGATGCCTTTTTGCCAGCAGCGGTCAGCTTCTTGGCTGGAACCTTAGCTTTAGCAGCAGCAGCTGCAGCTGCAGCAGCAGCAACTGCAGCCTTTGCAACAGGTGCCTTTTTGGGAGAAGCTTTTATGATAGCTGCCCTCTGCAGCTTCTTCACTTCATTCTTGATTATCCTGTTCCTCATTTTCTTTGCTTTCATGACTTTGTAACGGTCAAAATCTGTTATCTTGGCTTTTCTCTCTTGGGCTTCGATCTTCTTGGCCCATCTGGTGGCTGCCCATTTCTTGTGATATCAGCTTTCTCCCAGGCTTGTCGGACATACCTCTGGCGGGCACTGTGTGGAAACTTGAGAATGAAGTCGGTGAGCTGCATGCACTTGAAAGGCATGGCCTGCCGCCTCACGCGAGTGCAGGGTCCATCTACCAGCGCCCTGTTCTGGTCGATGACGTCAACGATCGCGACCAGCTTCCTGGCGTGGGGTCCGAAGGAGACGTAGGCCACCCGGCCAACCTCCACGAAGCGCCTGAACACCATGTCTGCGGCGCGCGGCGAGAAGGAAAGCCCAGTTAAATTTGAATTTCAGAAAATTACACACATCATTTTTAACGTAAGCATGTCTCAAATGTTGAATGGGACTTTCTTTTACTTATATTAAATAAGTACATAAATGAAGTTTGGTATAAGTTTGTCCCCTATAATATTTGGGTCATACTTATGCTAAATTACATGTGGTTTGTTTGAAATTAGAATTTAACTAGGAACCCTTCATCTTTAATTGCTAAATCTGGCTAACCCCTAGCTGCCTCTCTTAGCTTCATTTACTGTTACATTGATTAGTAATAGTTTTGGGTGTTACAAATGTGGGCGCACGCATGCGCGCACGCACACACACACACACACACTTTTTGCTTTACTCATAAAAATGAATAACATCCATCATATGTGGATTTACTGAGTTGACCCACAGCAAATAATTTTTCCTTGCCTACAATTTGTTCACTGTTAGGCACCAACAGCAGCAGTTAATTTTGTGTTAATCAGAGTGGCTTAAAGTAGTACAAATCATTTGGGTTTAGATAAAATATGAGTATAAGTGAATTCAGTACAATTGCTTTTCTTTACTGCATAAATGAAGTAATTACGTGTTGAGGAATCTTAAGTCTTGCCATGGGAGGGGGGTGATCCTGCCTAGGACAACGTCTGAAGGGTGTGCTGGTCCGCAGCTGGGACTTTCCTATCGTGTGGCTGCTGGCTCTCTATGGAGAAGACCAAGATGTCAGTGGAATATACAAGCAAGAGAGGAAGATCAAAGAAATGCAGCACTTCATTTTCCGGGAAGGGCAGGCTCTGGGTGTCGGGTCAGCTGGACTCCCTTCTTCCTGTCCTCTTTCTTAATCAGCTTGTTCCTCTGTACCTAATGTTCCATTGTTTTTATTAGCAGCACTGTTTCCCTGAGTGGCCCTGATTTTGTGACCTAGGCAGGGACCTTATCATACGATTGTTTATTGTATTTATGAGATGTGGCCTGATTTTCAAACTACTGAATTAAAATGTTAAAGCCCAACTTGGTGGGGCTGAGTGTGGCTGATTCACAAGGTGGTGTGGAACACAGCAGAAGCGCTGGTCATAGTGCACTGGATGCCACACCACACGGGACACACAGAACACAGTTGGTATGCACTCAATCCCTTTGCATTTAATAAGTTTGTTAATTACCTTTCTGGGAATACAGAGCTCATACATTCTTGGGCACCGACGATGGTGGGAGCACTTCTCTGACTTCAGGATGTTTACAAAGAACTGCACGAACTGCTCAGAAAAAGGAGGATCTTTGAGAGACTCAAGCCTGCAGATTATCGACGCCCGGCGGCCACAACGGCCTTAAGACAAACACACAGCTCTCGGCCTCAACTTTCTCCCCTGCAAATGGGGATCACAGCATTCTCTCCTCACTCCTGC